TTCACCTAACAACGCTAAAAGTTTCTGTCCCTTAGGCAGAATCGAGCATGACCTTGGAATCAGTTGACGAGATTTGTGGGTTTGCTGTACTTATGGCACTTCCGGGTCTGCTGCTGGAGTGTAAAGATCTCGATGCAACTGTCGCCAGGTAGAAATCTCGCTTTTTCTTGTGCTCCTGCACTTTATTGTGTTGTCATATGATGCGGTTTTAAGATGAGGTTTTATTGCCTTCTGTGGTGAGGGTATGAAGGTAGTAAGCTGTTTCCTTCGGGTGACCGTATATGTGGAAGTGGCAGTCTTGCCTTCTACCGAGGGAGGACGGCTTAGGAAAGGTTGGCTCAAAAAGACGTACGCTCGGATCACTCAACGGTCGACCGTGACCACCGGAGACTTATCCAGTACGGTCGAAATACAAGGAGTCCGATGCGACTCCAAACGTCTACCGTGTCTACCGTGCGCAGCAGCACAAGGAGTGAGACATTCATGCCTTATTTGCTGTGCTTTTGGAATAGGCCGAACACCTCTGACCGAGCTTGTCAGATTATCGAATCGTCTGCTGTGGGAGAGGATTGGAATTTCAATCCGAAAGCTAAAGGTGGGGCACCTCAAGCAAATCCCATTCCTCGGCCTGGATAACCTGGAATATCATCCACCTTTACAGATCATTGACTATCACCTACACCCTCTCTCCACCCACCAATTGATTTGCTGTGCTCAATCTAATTGCTCACCCCCTAACTACTGTTCCGTGTCTAAATCGAACTTGTCAAAATACACCAAAATATGCTCTTACTTAACTCAAAAGATCTTATCCATTTTGCAGCCTTCAAATTGGGTAACAGGTTTCTCTTGCCCAAACTTGGCATCCTCTTTGTGTCTATATATGTGTCTCCGAAGCACACATAAATATCCCCACTTCGGTTGCTTATGAGATCTCAGCTGACAGTGATGATGATGAGACTAAGTTTGATCAATTACCAACAGAGAGACGCAACTGAAGATTGCTGTTTCTTCTGCGGTACGCAACCTGCTTACCAACATTCCATTGTGCGAGCTCGGTTGTCACTTCAATATCCGTCAACGTTACTCGTGCAGAATCACGGAGAATCCATCCGTCAACATCGACGAGTTTCAGTAGCTCAGCAGTTTCGAGCCTATCTGGATGGGAAGCTACTTGAAACGCATAATCATGCTGATGACGAAGATTTGTTTGAGGGGCAATGGAAGAGTGAAAAAAGCTACGTTGGTATGCTTTTAAGGCTGTCCGTCCGAGCCATCCGACTCGACAAAATGGACACCCGATATCATCGAGGTTAGCAGATCTCACTGCTCTCAGAAAATTCCTACCTACAGCTCTGGAAGAAACCAACGAGCCTGCATAAAACATAGACGACAACTCACCATGGAAAACAGAAATCCAGTGTTAGATATCATTCCCTCAACTCGACCTGGACGATTTGCACTCTGCGCTTTTCAAAGGTGGTGAAGCATCGGTGAGTGGTCTGATGACCTACTGGATTGGAAACAATACCACTAGAGTGGAACGCTTCGACTGCGATTCTGCTAGTCGAAGAGAGTGGAGAACCTCTTGCAAAAGCCACCATGGTATCAGCCAGGTATCCCTAGCATCGAAGATGATCTATTGCATTATTTTGGACCGGTTGATTGATCGGAAATTTTGAGAATCGATCTGGGTTTCGCCCTCACGAGGATTTACTGACCCTATATTTACTTAAAAATAGGTTCCTAAACAGCGCTGCTCTTTCGAACGTCCTAAGTTGATCGCTTTTCTTGATCTGATGGCTATTTTCGACTCTTTCGGTCCTTAGGAACTTAAGCGGTGTTTGGCGGGAACACCTGGCGGACGTCTTTGGTCGCGACGGCGTATACATGAAGCTTTTATATGAGTTCGCCATGTTCAGTGGAATGAGATAAAGGCTGTCCTCTATCACCAGCTTCAAATATGTCGTTGACATGCTGCCTGAAACTCTTCTGTCTATCTCTGAAACCTTCGAGGTTGAAATGTTCCTAGGACGTTCTTTCACAGACTAGATATGCAGATGATGTTGCTTTTCCTGGTTCCGATACCCTGGAGATACAACCCACTCTCGAATAGGGAAGGCCAGGGCAACTGTTGCCAAGCTTCAACACTTATATCCCCGAAGTGACGTCATTTTTTCTGTTATGAGCGTGACATACACTGCAGCGGTGCGACCCTACTGCTTTGTGGATCAGAAACGTGGCCTGTGCGTGCAGACGACGTACGAAAGTTATCAGCTCTTGACCATCGAGCATTGGTCGGGTCTGGTGAGAACATCGGATTAGCAATGATGGGATACGCCGAATGAGTTATCAGCCTTGACCATCGAGCATTGGTCGGGTCTGGTGAGAACATCGGATTAGCAATGATGGGATACGCCGAATGGCTTTAGGGAAAAGGTACTATCATACGGTAAATGAGCTACTCACACTAATTAGGACACATACTGCGCATGCCAGAAGACCATCTTTGTGGAGCTCTGGTTAGTAACTGATTCAGTGGACTTCAGGGGCGATCCGTGGCAAACAGAAACGAGCTACAGTGCCTGATGAGACCGAGGAAGGACCTGAGGGATGTCATGTCTGTGGGTGCTGACATGTGCTTCATCGCGTCGACGTTCTCCAAGTCTGGTCTGCGGCCATGTTCGTCAATGACAAAGCTGAGGAAGAAGGTACACTTTTCTCGGCGCACTCTGCAGTCATGCTGTTCAATACGACCAGTTACGTAGCCAAAGTTCTGCCACAATTCGTCGTGCTGCCATGACGATGACCATTTGAACGACACCAACATTAAACGTTCTCACTTGTGCATTTGTCGCCCGCGATCACAGTATTGTTAAAGCTTTTAGCCTGTCATGATAGAGCACTTCGGGTTTCGGGGTCATAGTCTATTGGGGCGTAAGCGCACATATCAAGACTGTATGGACGAACTTCTCGTCCTTCATAGTCCGTCTCAGATATCACCAAGCGAACAACATGGGGATTATCGTCAGCTGGTGTCCAGTCAAGCAGAAATATTTCTGGTCGTTGGTTTAACATGAAACCGGCGTGGACTATCAATCGGCGATGACCTTCGAATTACTGAATCACAAATCATGAAGTTGGAAGGCTGATAGCTTGGTTCTACGTCCTGGATTCGTGCTGGTTTTAGGTGGCACGCATCAACGCACAGTTAATCCAGTCTACAGACAATAGTTTGTCCTACTTGTTTCAGAATACTGAAATGTTATCATTTTATTTTCATTCGCTCCAGAGTGAAAAGAATATTTAACGATGGTGTTTTCAAAATTTGGAAAGTGATTTCAAAGTTTCTGAGGTTGCAATTAACCGAACGTTTTTCGCAAGCCTTACAACGACAAACGAACCTGAGCCAGGCAGTCCGATCAGGAAATATGAGCGTGTTTTTCACTCTGACTGATTGCGGATTGTGTTCTGCAAGGTTTTTAGTCATGTGCAGCTTGGACCCCGGTCAAGAAGGCGCGAAGATCCCACAGCACTCAGTTTGATGAAGGCCGGCTTCATTTCGTGTTGTTAACTCATGACCTTTTCCCCGTGAGCTTTTGATTAACAGGCTTTCGGAGCTGAAAACGGTGATTTCTTTGGCAGTTGGTAGTTGAATAAGTGTGGTACGTGCTCCAACATTCTTAACTCGAAGAAGTTCACTTACTGCTCACTTGATTCTGATTGATCAGCTCACTTGCGCACCATTTCTTGCGGACGCGCTGCAGACCGTTGTACCGCAAAGACACTGATGATCAAACGTTTGAGTCTTTTAATATCCTCGAATCGGAGGGGCCAACTTTCGCAACCACAGATTAAAACTACCTTGTACGCGCTCCCCGTACGTTCGGTGCAGATCGTCTCTGGGACCATAAATGGCGCTAGTTTGCAAACCTTGCTTGCACTTATGTTTGTTGATTTCTCCCATCACGGTTCAGTCTTGGTTTTTGTATCTGCCCAGTTGGGTAAGCCGGTCAACAGGCTCAAATTCTTCCCCTTGAATTTTCAGAGGGGCTCGTTGGGATTCAAGATTTTGAGGCAATACTCTACGCTCTGCAAGTGTAAGACATTTGAAAACTAGGTATTATATCAGTGATTGTATCCAGAGTAGACCAGAGGACAACTGCTCTTTGACTAACAGGACAATGTCGTCCTCACTGTCCAAGTCTGCTCGTTTTTCTCTGGATGTAATCTCGGCATCGAGAAACCTATTGAAATGTTCATCGCTTCACAATATTCGTGGCAAAACCGAATATAAGAGGGGGTAAAATATTCATTCGCATCACCCTTTACTTGTCGAGTAGGGACGATTACGGGCGCTTGGACGATTGTCGTCTCTTTCAAGACGAGCGAAATACACTGCTTTAGTCGGAGTTGTTTTCTTTCTGGACTATATGTGTGAAGTGCGAACAAAGTATCTAACGCTCGTGAGTAGATTTCGTTCAATTTTGGTCTGAAAAGTCGGAAAAGAAATAAAACGTTATGGCTCACTGGAATTGGTGCATGTCACGAAACAGCTAGGGTCACCTTCATAAACCATTACATGCTTTGATGTTTCGGACGTGTATTCGGAATGGAATCTTGACGGCTTCCACGGTGTGCCATCTCTGCAGATTACCCCTGAGAGTCAACAAATGCACATGAAATGACAGCCCAACTTATTAGCGCAAATTCATTGTGAAGCGATTCTACTTGCAAACTTTCCCAATTCAAATTTTGTTTCCGTAAATTCCCGCACAATTGTTGTTATGTGCTGTTTCATTGTCAAACGCGTTATCTCCTTAGAGCTTCGTATTCAATGTGCGTTTATCTTGTGATTCTGTCTTGTGAATACAGTCGCCCTTTGTGATAGCTTTCAATTTCATATGAGCCACACCCCATTTCGTCGTTTTTATGTTCCTTTAGGTGTTCCATTCCCGATGTAGCAGTATGCTGTTGAACGCTATATGCCTATACTGATCGATGAATTTTCCGTTCCTGATCTATGCTCGAGCCACAACTTTATATGCAACCAATTACTAGCGGCAGCAAATTGAGTAATTCGGCTACTTGTCCTGGGTCACTCTTCACCTGTGATCTACAGTGTGAGGGCACGTGCAAGTGTACTGGCTTTATTCATGGAGCTGTTGGCGCACCAGTTCCGCCGCACATGCCGGCACAGCTACATCCGTCATTCTTGATGTACACAAGTACGACAAACTACCAGCGGCAAAACATCTGTCCAGGCGTAAGTATTTTCGGGGTTTTATGATGAGGCATGAAATATTTATTCGTCTATCCTACTTTTTGGCCTCCTAATCCAGCCAATTCTGACGTATATAATGCTAAAACCACCAAGTTTGGTTTTCGAGTTAATGTTGGGTCATCAGATGGGTGTGTGGATGTATTTAGGACTTCCCCATCATTTCGCGTCAGGCCTTATTCCCTCGGGTTTACGCCGGGTGCAGGTCATTTGGATACACCTGCGGCTCGGCAAGAACAGTACCAATTGTTCGTGGGTGTCCATCGGCGTTGTTCCGTGCGACGGCCAATACGAAAACGGATGCCAGTCTACCACTGGAATTTCGCACCCGCGTAGGCAGACTATCTGTAAAATATTGACTGTGATAACGCACGTAACTCGATCACGAGAAATTGTTTGTGACTAGATTGCCCGACCACCTTTGTCTGGCTTATTAACTTGGGCGAGAGTGCAATGATGTTGACTAGCTGAGTCGGTGTGGCAGCCTGAGAAGTGGTTGCACACTAAACCTGTCGTGGGTGGGCTGTTCCTGCTAATGTACACAAAGACTGAACTTTTGAACATCTGGGACGGTCAGAATGTCGCTCTGTGCTGATATGGTTATTTTTGCCTATTGTCTCTTCTACCACTTGCTTCCAGAAGGTTACGCCTTCCGGAGGCAGTTGGCTGAATGTAATGAGGAGCCAATCCTCGGTGTCATTGGTGAGCTGGAATTAACGTGTACGAAGCAATCATTAAATAGAAGTGTTCGGTCATACAAGAGCAATTCATTAGCCGTTTTATCTTGATGGGGGCTCATCCATATATGTAAGAGGATTAGATCGCCCGATGTTTGTGTTCGTAGTTGTCAACAACAACTGGTCACCGACCTCACACAGGCACGCTTGTATATATATATATATATATATATATATATATACATAAAGATACTATTTGAACACCATGGACCACCGGTTGGGC